TTACATCACGTGTAGTCCTGTAGCACCTTAGACTAACACATACTATAAATAGTATCATGAGCTTTCGTGGGCAAAACCTACTTCCTCAGATTCCTCCTCTTTAGAAGTGAAACTGCAAATATTTTGTGTAGCAGTGTACTTATGTCCATAACCATTTCTTCAGTATAGCTTTTTCATAAAAAAAGTTAATCTTGAAATCTTTAGTGCTTTTCATATTCTTTAAAATCGTGCCTCTGATCCAAAACAGGATGGGTACATGCTCTTAAGATTGAACGAGTGAGATTTTTTTTTTAAATATTTGAAAGATTTGTATCTCCTAAAATTGGGACAGTAACGACATATATGATACTTTGATGTGAAGTGGTATTAACCTTGGATGAAAAGTTCTTTGTAGTATCTGTGCTGTTTCTGTATAGAATGTATAAGCAATTTTATTTATTTCATCTGAAATTATTTATAAAGACACTTAGTAGCAAATTTGTAACCCTTAATGATTTTTTTTGTTCTTACAATGTTAACTTAAATTCTTTAGTCAGGAAAAAGGATGTTTAAACATAATAGTTAAAGATGCGATGGAGGCATGTTCTCTTTTGAAGATATCAGATTAGGAGAGATGTCATACAGAGTTAATGATCTAATGTCATTGTCGGTACTCAAATGAACAATTGTGACAACTCCCTTGAATCTAATTCAAGTGTGGGAAAGATACAGCCTACCTGCCCCTGTGGCATGGAGCAGTGCTGCTCAAAGCGGTTAGCTGCTCCCTGTTGCTTTCTGTGCTGCAGGAGGGGAGTGTGTCTCATTGCACTTTGCTGCCACTCCTCACAAAATCCCTCAGCTCCATTTGGCTGGAAAAAATAGCCACTTCTGCATGATTGTTTTATCGTCATACTAAACACTTCATATTAAACTGAGTTAAATATGATCAATGCAATATTTGGCAACTTTGAAGCATTGAATAACACCTGTGCTCTGGGATACAATAACCAATTTAAGCCAGAACTCCATCTTAAAGTTACCATGTCATAAGTAGTCACTACCAGCCATGTGTGACTTTACTTGAATACAGCATGAGTAGAAGCCTGAGTTGCATCTTTCTTTAATATTTAGTTAAAATGTAATCCTCTCTGACACTGCTTTGCTGAAAATTTACCATGACTCCTAGATTGGAATAACAGATGAGATTTCAGGTCCGTCACCACCAAACTGATTATTTTATAGGTAATGTGGAAACTAGGATATACAGAAGCATGCTTTAGATCAACATTTCTGAATATAAATAGTATATTGAAGATTGTTGACTTGCGTAATGTCTCTGGTTCTCTAAACTTTAAATAAAATGATCTTTAAATGGACATGTGTGTGTTACTGTATTTTAAGAAGCTTTCTTCATTCTGCACAAAATAAATTGGCGCATGGGTTTAGATTGTCTTTGAAATCGTGAAAAGATTAAGCCTAAAGTAGAGATTAGCTAGTACAGGCAGTCCCCGACTTACGCGGCTCTGACTTATGTCGGATCTGCACTTACGAACGGGGCTTTCTCGCCCCGGAGCTTGCAGGCAGCGGGACCGCCCAGAGCGCAGCGGTCCTGCCACCTCGACCTCTGGGGCGAGAAAAGCTGCTCCGGGGGCCTCTGGTCTGCTGGGGACCGTCTCCAGCAGACCAGGGACACCGGAAGCAAAGCCGGGGAGGCGGAGGGGAGGGGTCCCACGCCTCTGAGACTTTGCTCTGGCAAAGCCGGGGAGGCGCGGGACTCCGGCGCAGCCGCGCCCGAGCCCCTCCGCGGCTTTGCTCCGCGTCTTCCTGGTCTGCAGACCAGGGAGACACAGAGAAAGCCCCAGAGTACACGGGCGGCAGGACCGCGAGGTCCCGCAGTCTGTGTACTCCGGGGCAGCCCCGTTCGTAACTGCGGATCCAACATAAGTCGGATCCGCGTAAGTCGGGGACTGCCTGTATATTAAAATTCCCAAGCCAAGGGACATGAACAAACTTTTTGGGCTGCATCCTATGGTCATAATTGAGACAAACTATGACTTCTGGCAGAAAGTTCATCTGATTAATGCAAGGAATTGAATGCTTTAAAGTAATTTTCTGTGCAGCATTTTACTACTTTCTATATGAACTGATGTCTTGTATGAAGTACACAAGTGGGAGCCCCACCTGTGACGGGTAAGGGGAGACTGAGAGAATGAATCATTTCTTTATTTCATTTGGGTGTTGCTTGGTATCCATTACCTAAACAGATAACATAACATCTACATTAGTGTTTCTTAAACATTTTAAGACCGAGGAACACCAGTTGAGCGCAAAAAAAGGGGGGAGGGTCAGGAGGAAAGATATTGAGCAAAAAAAGTCACCTGCCTCTTTAAGGGTGGCCATTTTGAGCTCTGTTTTCCGTGGCGCACTGATTTAAGAAACACCGATCTATATGTTTTGTTAGTCTTGAAGGTGCTGCTAGACTATTGGTTGTTTTTTAAGTTTACTCTTACCTGGAAATGTACTACTTCTTAAGCAGTCTCCATGGTGAAAAGATTTGTGTGCTGCCCTTCCCCCCCACCCTGCAACAAAACGAGGAAGAAAAACTAGTATTCTGAGTTGTCTGGTTTTTTTTTAAAATTCGGTCTATAGCCAAGAATCTGTCCCATGCAGCACATTAGCTCTAAATTATAAAGCAGAGATCCTATAATTAAAGTTCATCTTCATCTACTTATTTTTATTACGACTTAAATGTAGAGGTTCTGGAGAGGGAGAGCTGAAAACTTTCAAAAATCTGGGTGTTAATATTTTTAGACTTACATAAAATTGAAAAGGAATACTGCATGGGATATTGTTGTCTTTGGTACTCAGAAAAATTTGGGCAATCATTTTTATATTTTGGTATTGGTGAAGGGATGAATTTCCTCTTTCACTTTCTGTTTTTGGGAGAATGAGGTGGGAGGGGAGGGGAGGGGGGGGAGAGAACGACAGAAAAGGTAGAGTTTACTTTGAAGTTAGAGACACTTATGAATTCCTTATCTAAGCCCAGAATCTGTTAATGCCAACTAGCTGCCCCAGTACCTCTAACCAGGATGTTAATGGTTAGCATCAGCCTTACCGGGTGATGTTTACTGGTAACTGGTTAACCAGAGCTCTAGTGGTGCCCCCCCCCACCCCCCCAAAATGAAGAGGGCAGGTTAACTGGTTTGCTCTCATGCTGCCCCTCCCACCCCCCCAAAATGAAGAGGGCAGGTTAACTGGTTTTATTTTATATATATTTATTTTGTGTGTGTATCTGTTTAACATTTGAAACTGGCTTTCACATCCCTATCTCCCAAATCATTCAACAGTGATTAATAAGCTTGCTCTTTCTGATATATATTAGCAATGAAGTAACTGACAACTACAATATTAATTTTTATCAGTCCTAACCCATTGAGAGAGTGGGTTTTTTTTAGCTATTGTTCTAGGCCAGTGGTCCCCAACTTTTTGGGGCTGCTGGGTGGGCGGGGCCAGCGCATGCGCCGGGTGCCCAGGGAGGCACCATGGCACCCGTGGGCACCGGGTTGGGGACCACTGTTCTAGGCAGTCCATGGATTTCTGTCCACTACATAAAGGTCTCCAATGGCACAATTATTTGCATGATGTCACCTTAATATTTCACTGTAGTCAGTTGAAAATTTCTTTGATTGTTGTGGAGATATGCCTGCTGATTGAGTGGAATGAAGCCAATAGTGTTGCATGACAGGGAATCTCATTTGACTATCTTTTTGAGGTCCTGACTCTTATTAGAAGTTAGGCTACAAATAAATATATCATTGATTCAAGTTTCTCCTAGTTGTAATTAATCTTGGAGTTGATTAAATCAATCCCTTACCGCAAACTGTCGTTGCCACAAACTTTATTGAAACACATTTTGCAAAACAAAGGAATACTTTATCTTTCTAGTTAGAAATCTTTCTGAATTTTAAAAAAAAGTTCTTGAATCTGCAGGAGTTCTGAAACAAGAGGGGTATCATTATTTTGATATGATATTTCTGAAACCCAATAACAGCAGAAATTCTAACATACCATATCTTAATTGTTTAGAAAGATTTCTGGCAGGTTGCAAATTGGGGTGTTTTTCAAATATTTGACTCTTGTCTTCAACATAGGTATATAAGAGAGAGTGAAAGTAGATTTATTCTAAATGTATTGGAAGATTTTTAGGGATGAATCAGAACTTGGATACCGTAGAATCATTTTGAATATTTTTAAACTAGTTTTGTGTTGAGTGAATTTATTCTGAATTCCTTGATATCCTTAAACGTTTGTGCAAATTAGACAACTTGCAAATTCAGAGGCTCTACTGTGGCTACTATGATATGCTTTTAACTTGATCATTTTATTTCTTTAGAAATCTACCAATGTTCTCACTTTTTTAGAGCAGTACTAAAATAAACCTACTTTTAAAAATGCTGAAGCATTCCAAGAAGGTTAAGGTACATCATAAATTGGAATCTGTTAATTTACTAGTGACATTCTGCCCTTCAGGGAAGACATGAGCTGTATAACAGTGCTAATCAATACTGAGCAATTTGAAGGTAACAAGGGAAGAATGACATCTTGTATACTCGAAATTGCACTGCATGTTAGGCAGATTCCAGACTCATTGATACTAGACCAGTATAATAACAGTGATAATGCTGCTGTGCTTGTAAAGGATGCAGTGGAATAGTATGACCAATAGTTTAGAGTCATCAACTGCAACAGGCTTAATATCTGATTTTGAACATTCCCTCTGTGTCCCTCCTTCCCAAAGCTAAACAGAATACATACTTTTTGTTCAATTATTTTCTTAAACTACTTCAAAAATAAAGAATATGCACTTATCAAAGTACTGGGGATAAGACAGATCAGCTTTGAAAAGCATGTGCAAAAATACTTGAAGGGAGCTTATAGTAAATGATCTGGGAATGGTAGAGCAGAGCTTTAACATCATGGCTGTTCCAAGACAATTTCTTAACTATTCTGTTTTATTTTAGGCTAAAGAAATTTTGACAAAAGAATCCAATGTACAAGAAGTGCGATGTCCTGTCACAGTCTGTGGAGATGTCCATGGGCAATTTCACGACCTCATGGAACTCTTCAGAATTGGAGGCAAATCACCGGACACAAATTACTTATTTATGGGGGACTATGTTGACAGAGGATATTACTCAGTTGAAACAGTCACACTGCTTGTTGCTCTTAAGGTAACTTTCTCTCCTCCACCCCCGCCCCTCCAAGTTTATTTTGCCTTTAAGACTTTAACTTAATAAATATGTTGGTTTATTTTTTACCCTCCCCCCTTTTTTACCCCCCTGCAAAAATTGTGATTTCCAAGAATAAGACCGGGAAATGAATTAAGAGGGCTGGAGAAACTATCCATCAACAGGTAGAGGGGAAAACTTGTGTTTAGGCTTTCCTTTTTGTCATGTCTAAAAGATGCTGAATTTGAGAGTCAGGATTATGTGAATTGGTTATAAATCTGAAAATACAGAAAGCTAATGAGAGAAAGCAGCTTAGAGCAGATAAAAGCTTCTGTGCAATCTATGAATAGTAGTTGCCAGGGCTTGACAAAGTATTGAATCTACTCGCCCGTGGCGAGTAGATTTTAGCTGGGCACCCTGTTCAGTTGCGGCATGCGCAATGCGGGTCTTGCGCATGCGCAGTGCAGGGTTGGCAAGCGGCTTTAGTCGCCATTCGTTAAGCCCTGGTAGTTGCCATAAATCTCCTCAGCTCATTGTTTTGACCCATAGTAGGTCTGTGACAGTTCAGTGCCTTTAATGCATGTTTTAATGCATCTTCTGTTTAAATGTTTTTACTCTTAGCTTTCTGCAGCTTACATCTTAAAATTAAGAAGTGAAACTTGTCTTCACGACTCTTCTCTGTTGAGCATTTCATAAAATGTATAACCTGGCTCTGTTCTCATTTGGTTTTGACTTTTTTCTTTTTTTCTGGGGAGACTGAAATGAGGAGTGATACTTTTTAAACATAAATGCTTTGTGTTGTAGGTCCGTTACCGTGAACGCATCACAATTCTTCGGGGGAACCATGAGAGCAGGCAGATCACACAAGTATATGGTTTTTATGATGAATGTTTAAGGAAATATGGAAATGCAAATGTTTGGAAGTACTTCACAGATCTTTTTGATTATCTTCCTCTAACTGCTCTGGTGGATGGCCAGGTATGTAGAAATTAGTTGGATATTTTAAAAAGCATCTATTTTTTTAAAATAGTAGTTTTTAAGAAGCATGGGTTCAAGATTAAATATGAGCTCTTCTCTTATTACTCATTTCTCTGTTGCAATTTTGTGCTTATTACACATTTTACTAGGTTATGTTAATATAAAATACTTGATTAGTTGGATGATTCTAACAGATGTACAACTCTTCCAGATTTTCTGTCTACATGGTGGCCTGTCACCATCCATAGATACACTGGATCACATCAGAGCACTTGACCGCCTGCAAGAAGTTCCCCACGAGGTATTGATAATCTAATATCAAAATGTGCTGTCTGGACACACATCTTTCCATTTTAGCGCAGTTTTTATTTATTCATACTTGAAGAATGAAGTTCATGATAAACTTGTCTATATTCATTGTGACCATA